TTAACAAGGAATAAATGATAAAATAAAAAAGGAAGGAAGAATAACGGAGAGTGAAAAAGGGAGACAAGGAAGTGGAGGAGAGATGTAGTATAATCGACTGAGATAAGCAGATTTTGAGAAAGAGAGAGAGAGAGAGAGAGTTGTGGAAAGTTCGAGAGAATGAAAGAGAGAAAGAGAGAGAGAAAGAGAGATTGCGCACCTGTAATTAGATGAAGTCTTCTAATCGAAGCGTCTGATCAGACTGGTGTGTGAACGTACTTATTTCAGTCGACAGGTCTAAAGGTTTGCTGGTACGCCACTTAGCGTAAATACGCCTGAGGTTTGAATGTAAATTGGAACAACAACAACAACATCAACAACAATAATAATAATAATAATAATAATAATAATAATAATAAAAAAACTATTATTATTAATAAAAATTATAATAATAATAATATGTAATGCATAATTTCGTTCCATTCTGGTCTTCGATTTCAGGCTCAGGCAAAATCAAAGATCCCGAACACTGATTTTATAAGCCACTTTTATTAAGTAGGCCTAGTCCATTTAGATGATTGACTCGATAAAAATCTTCATAACCAACCTATACGGCTACTGTTCCATATCAAGCCGTTCCTAGCCAATATCTTGAGGAATTCATGACACAGGCAATCATGACTCTCCACAGCTGCCTGACATTTGTTGGTTTGAGTAACCTTTGCACCTTTACCATCACATTTGTTCTTATTTCTTCATCCATTCACACATAATCTTCAAGCAGATTACTCGCAGTTATTCTCTTGCCTTCACTACGTCCTTCGTGTGTTAAATTCTCCAGGCCTTTTTTCCTCGTAATGTATTCCATAAATTCCAAAACTATATTTATAAATGTTTGTATCAGTTCGTTTCTCTCACCATTTTTCTCTTTAGAACTTCCTGGTTCCTCGTGTTTTATTTCGAGTATATTTTTACCATTATTCGGAATTCTGTGCTTCATTTACCATCATTTGTTAGGAAACCGGCCAGCGAGACACACTTCCGCGCGTGTTTGATTTTCCCGTTCCTAATACGAAGCTCGTTCGCTATATATATATATATATATATATATATATATATATATATATATATATATGGATTGTTGCTTTTGCTGAAATGTGTCACGTTACGCCTTCTCAGGCGCACGTTCTCTGCTAAAGACTATATTGAATCCATTGCTAGTTCAGCTGCTAAGAAAGTTAGTTCACTCTGTCGATCGATGTTTCTCTCCAGAATTTATCTGACATATCTATAAGTCTACCATTCTTCCATGCTTAGAATATTGGTGCCACATATGGTCCGGTTTCCCTGCTATTTATCTTGATAAGACCCAAAAAAGAATCAGCAATATTACTGTTCCTGATCTCGCATCTTGGATTCAGTCACTTTCTCACCGCCGTAAGGGTGCTTCTGTGTGTCTTTTCTATAAATGCTTTCGTGGTAATTGTTCGGATGAGATTTGGTGGGTGGATTTTATTACTAAAATTATTTTGTTTTGTTTCTTATAAATAGTTTTGTTTTCATATTGTAAATACTCATTGGGGCTAGTTTTTGAAATTGTTGTTTTATCCCCCTCCCCCACAGACTATGCATTCTACATAAGGGGACTAGTTAGGATTTTCATAGAGACAATGAGGTATTATGGTGGGTGTTGTAAGAATTGTAATTAAGAATGTGTTTTTTAGTGTAAGGAATATTGTGGTCAGTGTTTGTGGCCAGCTAAGTTTAAAGTTAAGAAAGAGAAAGATCGTCCTTTTCCTTCATTCCCCATTTTGGCCTTGTGCCACATTTTTTGTGCATAACAGAAATAAATATCGCTCTAGACATTTTGAATTTAAGTGCAGTAATAGACTGGAGTCGAGATCTCATCAATTTACTGTTGAGCTGGCTCGATGTAGCTGTAAATACTATGCTGACCGTTTCTTTTGTAGCTTGTGGAACACCTTCCGGCTCCATGCCTTCCAACAAATATCAATCTACAAGAATTTAAATGCAATGTCAATCGCTATCTACTGTCCTCCTGATTACTCTCTTCTCTTTCTGCTCGCCATTATTGTTTTATTCCTAATTCTTCCACACCCAGTAACCCCTTGTGTTTTAGTGGCAATACTGCATTGCTTTGGATGATATCGATTAAAAAAATAATTTCAAAAGATTATGCATATTTTAGGTCAGGGTTTCCCTATTCCTGATTATTTCAAGCTGCAAAAGACTCTCTCTCTCTCTCTCTCTCTCACACACACACACACACACACACACACACACAAACAAACACACACACACACACACACATATATATATATATATATATATATATATATATATATATATATATATATATATATATATATATGAAGTCCCTAAAGTCTGGGCAAAAAAGAAATCACATTAACTATATTTTTTTTTACTTCCACAGATTAAAGATGGTTTTGTCGAAAAAAAAAAACAAAGAAATGACTTCTTTTTCTGAGGCGTGCTAAAAAATAATGTGTACTCAATGAAAATGACAGGTGCAACACACTTGATTGAACGTATAAAGAGTGAATGTGCTAAAATTGACGGCAATGTGAAGTTATTGCATCGAGTTCACATGAATCTTGCAAAGTGCATTAAACTTCACATTACAAATGATGGAAATCATAGTGAAGATGTTATGTCTTAATTTTCTATTTTTGGTGTAAGGAATATTGTGGTATGTTTGGATCAGTGTTTCAGTTCAGTTACTCTTGAAATGCGACCGTAAGTTCTATGCTAACTGTATCTTCTATCGTAGTTCCTGCCTGTTTCTCTCTTCCGGCTTCTTGCTTCCCAGTCAGCTTTGATCTTTAAAAATTTAAGTGCTACATCAATCGTTATCTTCTCTCTTTTCACTTCCCGTTCTCTCCCCTTAATAGTATTTTTCCTCGCATTTTCCCTAATACTCAGTAACCCCTTGCGTCTTAGTCGTGTTATTGCCTTGCTTGGGGTGAAATTATTAAAAAAATATATATATAGAGAGAGAGAGACCAGATTTCTCTTCATCTTTGACAACAAAACATTTTTTTTAAATTTTGAACAATAAGTAATTTTCTTTCGGAATAAAAGAAACGAATGAAATATAATATTTCGTGATTTACTGAATGGTTTTTACCGGCTATTTCTCTAGTATAAATAGAACATCGCTCCATAACCCCGGCGATGACCCATTAGATTTCACTGAGTGTAGTGTAATGTCACTGGGCCAACGGTCATACCTCGGTACACATTGAGAGGCCAACAGGTGGACTTTTCCTTTTTTCAACCAAAACTTTTAATCTAAGCTTCTTGTTATTTTCAATCACGTATTACCAATTACTACTTCTCCGTTCTAGAAACATTGGTTCACTATTTAGTGCTAGACATTACTAGATTAACTGCAAGGTCTCATTATCTTACAGTTAAAATGGCTAGATGTGTCCGTAAGTTCTATGCTAACAGTTTCCTCTCTCGCACTTCTCGCATGTGGAGCATTCTTTCGACTTCTTGCTTCCCAGACAACATTGATATTCAAAAAATCTAAAAAGAAATTCCAATCGTTATCTGCTGTCCTCTCAATTTCCGTTCTTTGAATGTTCTCTCTCCTTAATAATGTTTTCTTTTTCTCATCTTCTCTAACATTCTGTAACACCTTTGCATCTTAGGACATTTTTTTTTGTGGGTGCTGTAAAGTGCTGAAAAGAGAGTTAAATGCATATCGTTATTGCTGTCGAGAATGGCGGGGGCTGGATGACTGCTGAAGCTAGTGGCCTATTTGATTTTCTTGCTTAGGGTGAAATTATTTTTTTAAAATTCTGAAACTTGTAATCACTGTCAAGACTGAAATGTGGCGATATTCTCTTCAAGTATTTGGTTTTTGACGGCCTGTTTCTTCGAAGTTTACAGAAGTTTGGTAGAGAATGGTACACCAATGCCATCAGTTGGCAGCAGATTCCTCTGGCTCCTTTTGGTCTGATCTTGCACCAGTTGAGGTTAAATTTGAGTTTTTCTACCGTTTCTTTGTCTGACCTCGATGTCGTAGCCATATAAGAGTTATTCGTACAACAGACGTCTAGGAATATGAATTTGCTCTATGCGTAAGTCTTTGCCTGACTATTGAACTTTGCTCTGATGAGCATTGATTCGATTCTAGTCAAGTCTCTTACGCTCTAAAATTTCGAGTTTGATGACAACGATCCCGTAACGTGATTCCTAATATGGAACGTAAAGACTTCACGTTGAACTTGTTTTCTTTGTTAAATTTTCTGGATGTGCTTTCGGTACAATGTTCATGATTCACTTTTGTAGGAGAGAGAAATTTAACTGCTCATTGATCTATTAATGGTTATCGAGATATCTATGAAAATTAGAATTTAACTGAAATTCCTATCAAATTTATATATAGGTTGAAAACATAAATAAATATGCCAACATTTTTCATGCAAGATATATTCTGGTAGATACAGGTGACGGTGGAGATTAACAAGGTGGCTGAATTATTTTTTTTTCTGTTTGGATATCATAAACATCGGGTAGTTACGAAAGTGTTTATTCATCCACCCCGTTGATTTCAAGTTTCTTTTGTGAAGGCTGACGTTATATTACAGCTAGACATCTCTCAGGAGTAGAAATATAATTGTCCAACAATATTACAGGTGTCGCTTAATTGCTTTGGGGTCGGAAGGAAATTAATGTTTGCACTGAGGGGAATTTGAAGATACACACACACACACACATACACACACACACACACACACAGATAGAGTGAGAGTGAGACACACAGGCACACATACACAGAGGGAGAGAGAGAGACAGAGAGTCAAATAGAAAGATACGAAGAGACCAAGATATATATATATATATATACATGTATATATAAATATATATATAAATATATATATATATATATATATACATATATAATTATTTTTTATAAAAATTTATAACATAAATATGTTATAAAATCACTACAAAAATAGCCATTTTGTTTCAACACACTCTGTCAAGTGATGATGTTGAAAAAAAAAATCTTTTTTTTTTTTTTTCAACATCTGCCCTACTTGAGCACTCTTTTAAGAATAGTAATTGTTGGTTATTGGAATTCATTCCGTATATACCAATTATATACTTGGATATATATATATATATATATATATATATATATATATATGTATGTATGTATGTATGTGCTAAAATTGACGGCAATGTGAAGTTATCGCATCGAGTTCACGTGAATCTTGCAAAGCGCATTAAACTTCACATTACAAATGATGGAAATCATATTGAAGATGTTATGTTTTAATTTTCTATTTTTGGTGTAAGGAATATTGTGGTATGTTTGGGTCAGTGTTTGGGTTCAGTTACTGTTGAAATGTGACCGTAAGTTTATATATATATATATATATATATATATATATATATATATATATATATATATATATATATATATATATGTATGTATGTATGTATAGAAATAGATAACTGGACAGATAGATGAACATGAAGAGACCATGTTATACGAACACATATATGAGCGTGTGTGCGTAGATAGATAGATATGAAAAGACCATGATAGATAGATATGAAGAAACTAATATATATGTACATACATATATATATATATATATATATATATATATATATATATATATATATACACTACATGCTAGACGTTAATGGGATTTTTCTGTTTCCAACATTTAATTCGTCAAAATTGAATAAAAGTTTTCGCGCGTCTAATTTTTGTGCGTCCACTTTTGGTATGTGTGTGTGTCAGTTTTATAAGTGCGACTGCGATGTGCGTCCATTAAATGGAATACACCTACACAGTCTTAAATGCACACAAACACGCACATGGACATACACAACCAAACAGGCTGCAAAAGTGCATTTGTGGTCAGTTTTTTTTTGTTTTTTTAGCGATCTTATGTTTTCTATTTCTCACTAATTGAATTTAAAATTGTTTTCAAATTACATTCGTTTTTTATATAGCTGAAATTTCCTTCCTACAACTGCCTATTGGTTGATGAAATGACATATATATATATATATATATATATGTTTGTGTGTGTGTGTTCATTTTCTATCGGTTTCTTTTTATATCACTGGTAAAATCATGTTCCTATCTATTCGTCTCGATACTATACATATATCATGGCGGCAGGAATTGTTCAACTATAATTAGAAAACATTTTGAATCCCGAAACAAAATAATTTTGGTCCCGAATAAAATTATTTTAAGCAAGTCGAGAGTACTGATCCAAACTACGTTCTCCTCTCTGTTTCTCTCCTTTCCCTCATTCTCTCTCTCTCTCTCTCTCTCTCTCTCTCGTTCTCTCCCTCCTCTCTCTCTTTCTCCCTCTCACCCCTCTCCCCCTCTCTCTCTCTGTATATATTATTATACAATATGGTTATCTGTATGGAATTTCCAAGAGTATATATATCCAAAGGTAGTTCTATATCAAAAGTCATATTCCAAATATATATATATATATATATATATATATATATGTATATATATATATATAAAGAACAGTAAGATATATAATCCGGCGTTCTTATAGATATTTTTATTTTTACAAAATAGTGCTCAATGTAAATTTACAGAGCATTAATATTATAAATTAACCGATTTAAAATATGTTTTTTTTCGCTACACAGTTCTAAGCATGTTTCAAAAATGGAAGCTAAAAGCTTCGAATTTAATTTTGCAATTAAATTGAAGACATTAGTTATATTTCCTCCACAAGCGAATTTTGGAGTAACTTAATTTTTATTATGTTTTTTGCAGTGCCTTTAAAACCCAGTAATTTTAAAAAATAAATTACTCCAATATTCGCTTGCGGAAGAAATGGAACTAATGACTTAAATTTAATTACAAAATTAAATTCGAAGCTTTTAGCTTCCATTTTTGAAACATGGTGTAGCGAAAAAAACATAATTTATAAATATATATATATATATATATATATATATATATATATATAGAGAGAGAGAGAGAGAAGAGAGAGAGAGACAGAGAATGCCTGATTTTCCATAATTTTGCTACACGTGTTTCCAGTCTCGTGACCTTCATCAGTAGATATTTCCACACATTATTAAAAGGAATTATTTTTTCTTATGTTTTTTATGTTAAATATTCTCGATATTAGACATTCTCTTTTGTGCGTGTCAGTGACCCAAATGTCTTCCTTGACTTGGCAGTGAAAAGTTCTGCGTGAAGTATATTAAAACAATTAAGACTGGCCCAAGGAAGTGTTAGAAAGATATCTGTATCTTTTAATGACCACTGTGTGTTCTTAGATCTATTTCCATTTTTGTGTTCTTGTCAGCATGCGTATGTATACGTGTATTCCCTCTCCATACATACACACTGTTTTATAGTTATGAGATAAGAACAAATGCAGTAAAATTGCACTGCACTGTAACATTGAATTCTAAAAATGGGCTGAATACAGATTAGAGCTTTATATTATTTATTATAGGAAT